CAAAAGTTACAGAAGTTACAGAAGTTACAAAAGTTACAAAAGTTACAAAAGTTACAGAGGTTACAAAGGTTACAAAGGTTACAAAAGTTACAAAAGTTACAAAGGCTATAGGATTATACAAGTCACAAAAGTTATAAGAGTTATTAGGTCTAAGAATATGCATTAAAGAGGGTCTAAACCCGAATCTCTAACCCAGCTGTAAGAAGTGCACTTAAAGGAAGGGGGGGGGGAGGGGGGAGGAGGTCTCGAGCAAGAGAAAAGGGTCTAGGTCTACGTTTCTTACGTAAGCTCTTCTTAGACGCAGTACACTTCCGAAGAGACCACCGACAGCGAGCACACGCATCCTTCGAATTAGATATTTGTGCTCTACCGGCCGAAGAGTATACTTAGCACTCTTGGCGGGCAGCAGCGCACGCATCGTAAAGCGGGTCCACTAGCTCACCTTTATATATTTGTATTAGCTTAAGGTTGCTAGAAGATAAAAGAAAGTAATTCTTACAATTCGGTCTCTATGATACGGCCGACGTGGCCGATGATAGCACGGCGAAAGAAGAAGAGCTTTAATAAGTCCGATTGCTTATACGACCACCACATGCTTATAGCGGAAGGCGTGTATAGGTCTTTGTTTTTCTTTTAAGTAGTCCAAGCTTAAGGGAGCCGCGCAAACCCGGCAGTCGATTAGGCTTGTTCAAGCTAAGCCTTAGTAAAAGAGGTCTTTCCACTAACGGCCGGCGAAGACGCAAACATTTATTGATTTGATTAATAAGCATTAATAAAGGATGTGAAAATATACTTACGCTTGTACTTTATTGTAAAGGTAGGATCGGTCCAAAGCTTATAAAGCGAAAGGTAGCAAGTGGCGTAGCAAGGGGAGGCACGGCGGCGGCGAAGAATATAAGAGCCGGGGCGAAGCTAAGAGCCGGGACGCTAATAAGAATCGATAGCGCGAGAAGGACGAAAAGAAAAAGGGAAAGAGAGCGAGAGATCATTAGCTCATTTATATCGTCGTCTTCGAATCTATATATATATATATAATTAGCGTAAGTAACTCGAATGTATCACTTGATCTCAAAATGATTTATATTAAGGGCTTAGAATCTTTTATCACCTTATCTTCTTCTACTTCTTTCTCGACCTCTCTTACTGTTAAATCTATAGCAAAAAGAAGAAGAGAAAAAGGAAGAAGCAAAGCAGCAGCGAAGACGGCGGGGACGGCGAGGACGGCGAGGACGGCGGGGACGGCGGGGACGGTATGAAAAGGGGAAGAGGAAAGAGAGCGAAAGATTATTAGCTCATTTTCATTATCATCGTCGTCTTGATTAAATCTATATATAATAATATTAGCGTAAGTAGTTAGAGTGTATTACTTATTACTTACACCGCGGGCTCAACTAAGGCAACAAGCAAAGCAAGAGGCAAGGCTTGTTAAGGAGGAAGGAAGAGGTGTAAAAGCAGCCACTGCTGCTTGCGAAGTAATTGTACTTGCCGCCTTTAGGCCGGATCCGGCCGACCTATCCGCTTTGTATAAAGTCCGTCTCGAAAGTTGCGCTAACGGAGTGAGATCATATTACGAATGTAATTGTAGTTGTAATTGTAGTTGAAGTTAAGGTTAAAGGTGAAGTTAGAATTAAGGTTGATGTTAATATTAAGGTTAAGGTTAAGAAGAATATTTAAATTATAATAAATATTGAAAAGTAATAGACGAATTCACTTTTCAAAAAGGTCCGTGCTCAGCTAAATTCTTATACTTGCCGTATTCGTCGGTATAGCAGTATATCTATACAATATTTTATATAGTAGCTTGTAGTTCTTATAACTCTTATAACTCTTGTAACTCTTATAACTCTTATAACTTTTGTAACTTTTATAACTTTTGTAATATAAGTAAATTTTCGCTCTTGCTAAATCCATCGGCTTAGCATGCATAATCATATAAAATTATCAACGTTATAAAAGTTACAAAAGTTACAAAAGTTACAATTGATTCAGCGCAATTAACCGTACAATCTAAATACATTGTTTACTTTTAATTAATTGCTAATAACTATACAACCACTTTTGATAATAAACTATTAGTATACATCTTACAATTCGTTAAGCTTATACTCTTTTATAGCTATCAATCGGTGAGCCTTAAGCTCGATCTATGCGTGAGCTTTTAAGCTTTGAATAGCCCTTTTTATACGCCTATCTGAAACACATAAGCGCTAAAAGGTCCGCTTGTTACGGCAGTAATAACAAGTATATAAGCTATCTAGCTCTCTTTACGAGAATAAACTCAAACAGCCTTAGCAAGGTTCGTCCGCTAATTTCGTTGTATATTCCGACATTATCACATCTACTAAATTGCTAACTAAAGCCTTTCGAGCTGTATCCCGAATAAAGTACTCTTTAGCTAGCTCGTAGCGTCGTTGATAACAGCAATCCAAGCAAATAGTAAATCGCAAACTAATGTTCAAGATAAAGAAGTATAGCAATAAGCGGAAGGTATAACACTTAGCGCACTCGATTTTAATAAGTCTTTTAAGTAACTGAGCAAGTGCGAGAAGCGCAAGACGCGGTAGAAATTGATATATCGTATTTATGCTTAGCTTAAAAGTTAGAAAGAATAAAAGAAAGAGCAAATCTAGCGCTAAATCTAATGCTTTTGCTTCGGCCTTGATCTTTTTAAATTAATCGATCTATCCGAAAGCGCGATGTACATCAAGATCGTCGTATATTTTCTTATCTTTATACGTCGTGTATATAAATCTAAAAAAGTCCGTAAGTATAAGACCTTAGCCTCTTTTGCTTACTTCGCTTTTTCGTTTGCTTTCCGCATCATCTTGTGTTTTATCTTTGCCTTAAGCATTATCTTGTATGTCATCCTTGCTTTAAGCATCAACTTTAATCTGTTAGCTGCTTAAAGCATCGATAAGCCTTTTAAAGTTGATCTTACTTATAATACAGGTCATCTCGTCGTCATTATCGAAAAGATCGGGTGATTTATATCGCTAGCGTAGCAAGCTAAGTGATAATGCGATAAATGCGCGTTATAAAGTTGCGTAATAAAAGTCATTTAGCAAAAGAGTTTTCGATAGTAGTATAGTAATCTTCTTTTCCTTTTCTTCTTTAATCTCGGCCTTTTTAATCTCGCCCTTTTCCTTAATCTCGCTCTCTTCTTTAATCTCGCTCTCTTCTTCAATCTCGCTCTCTTCTTCAATCTCGCTTTCTTTTTTAATCTCGCCTTCTTTTTAAATCTCGCCTTCTTCTAGCTCCCTTTTTTCCTTAATATCTTTAATATAATTAGTGACACTTTCTTTTTCTTGCTTCGTATTTATGATCGCGATAAAAAAAGTGATTTGTTGCTATGTATTATTTGATTTCGATATATCGTAAATGCAAAGTATTTAAATATAAAGAAAATACTTTATTAAGGCTAAGTGCACGTAGAAATAAGCCTTTGTTTGAATTAAGCGAGTAATAGTAGATTCTTATTAGATCTTATAACTTTTATAACTTTTATAACTTTTATAACTTTTGTAACTTCTATAACTTTTATAACTTCTATAACTTTTGTAATTAACGGTAACATTTATACTATTTGTATTTATTTATAAGTTTTACAATCGTTATGCAAGCTGCCTTTTATACATATGATCTATATCTCGATCAATATTAGTACTAATAGACTTCTTCTTAAAGCGGCAAAAATCAAACACATTCTCAAACATAACTTCCGCTAAAGTCTTTACCTTAAAAGCTGATACATAATATAGCTTATAAGCAAATTCAGCCTTAGCTCAGCTAATCACTGCTTTAATCAAGGAAATTCCTTGACTTTTGTATACCGTAATTGCGTAAGCTACGCGAAGAAAGAGTTGCCGACGATTGCAAGGCTTATTGTCGTAAAAAAAGTCTCGATCGACGGTAAATATTAAAAACTATTTAATTTCTTCGAAAGTAAGACTAGTATAATCTTCGATCTCTATTAT